CTCCATCATGCCTTCCTTCCCCACGCCCGCACACTGAAACTCGGAGATCATGAGCCAAAATGACTTCTCTTAGTCGGAGTCTGTCAGGCGGTGACAGAGAGGAAAAGGAACTTTACACCCTCCTTGCTAGCACTGCCGCATCTGACCCACAGACACCAAACGGTAATTACATTATTGTAAACACTGTGTTTCGTGTCGCCTGTTAACATGGTAAGAGATATTACGTGTTAAAAATTTTGACATAAAACTTTAGTATAAGTCTCATTAACATTTAATCCTCTGGATAACTAACAATTCAAAAATTCACTGATCTTTCTTGAAAATGCATCTTCTCCTTTTTTCTAATCTTAATTTCTAATCTCATAAGTGACTCTCCCTTCTCAAATGACTCCCAACAGACAAACAGGTTATACAGTGAGGTCTGTCACCATCAACCTTGGAACCACCTATTTTATATAACTACATAATAGAGTGAGAGAGAAGAATGAATGAATGAATGAATGAATGAATGAATGATTAAAAAAACCTAAAAAAATTAAAATGTTTAAAAATAGAAAAGGTTCATACACACTGAACTGTAATAACAACTTGAATTCTCAATGTCATATGACTGCCTTGTTCAAAAAACAACCATTCACCTCTCTTATTTAAACTATTTGATCAAATACCTACCAAAATGTTAATATTGACAAAACATACCTACTTCACCATAAACAACTCAACCTAAATAGGTCAGAGTCAAGACATACTGACATCTATTTTTTATTATCTTGGTCTGGAAAACAATGACTTTTATTGAAAAGGCTTTATTCATTTTTTTTCTAATTTGAAACATTCCAAATCTTCCAAACTCAGTTTTACCAGACCCTGGAAATTTACCAGAAATGTATTCTACTGCTTACCTGTATAATAAATTGATACACTTGGGCTGTCGCTTTCATGAGACCATCTCCAACACTCTACATAAAGTTACATGCAGCCTCTTCCTTTCCTCACCCCCTTCCCCACTTAAGCATTGAGTTTCTTAAATGTGCCTTCCCACAAACCCTACCAGAATGTCAGCTCGAAGACACAGATTTCATCTGTTTTGTTCCCAATCTATTATTCCAAGCATCTATTTGGACATCTGGCATGCAGCAGGTCCTCAAATATTAGCTCAAAATTAAATGAATGAATACACACTGTGATGATTTGAATAGGTATGGCCCCCACAAACTCATGTGTTTGAATGTTTAGCCTTTAGAGAACGGCACTATTAGGAGGTGTGGCCTTGTAGGACGAAGTCTGTCACTGTGGGAGAGAGCTTTAAGGTCTCATATACTCAAGTTACACCCAGTGTGGGCTCAGTTCACTTCCTGTTGCCTGCAGAACAAGATGTAGGACTCTCAGCTCCTTCTCCAGCTGCCATATCCCAGCATGATGATGATGGACTAAACTTCTGAAACTATAACCACCCTATTAAATGTTTTCCTTTATAAGAGTTGCCACGGTCATGGTATCTCTTTACAACAACAGAAAACCCAACTAAGAAACACACTATATAGATAAATACTTTCTCATATGACCAAAATACAAAACAAGAAAGCATTGAAGAGAAAAATAGTTTTAAGTCAGCATTTTAAAATGCTAAATACTTCTGAATTTTTTAAAAGTGATATTACAACTCCTAAATTGCAAGAAATCCATATATTTTAATTTTGTTTTGCTAAGCTTTCTCATTAAACTCATGAAATCCCCTAATTACGACTAATTGACGCCTATTACAGAATTATTTACTTTTTAAATCAGATACTTAATTTTTAAAAACACAATAATAAAACAACACCAAACTAGCACAAGAACTGCAGAATTAACCACTCATCCTTTAAGGCCCTCTAGACTAGTACAACCAGAACAAAACGAAATTTAAATTTTCTAAAGGGACATTAAATGAAAACAAGTTAATTACACTATTGCATTTAATGTCACTAATATGTCCAAGACATTATCATCTTATACATGTTATTAATATTTTGTGGATATATGTACATTTGTGTGTACAATGTACAGATGAAGGCCGGAGGTCAATGTCTGTGGGAGCCCGTCCTGGGGTTCCTCGTGGCTTTACCCAGCAGGTCCAAATAGAGGATGATCAGGACCACGGGCCTGAGTGCAGGTGTCTGAGATGGTCTGCACTTGGCTGTGCTGGGGGAGGAGGTCTTTTGCTCCACCCCTTGGCGTCTCT